ATTGGGGACTATCTGCTGAGTGCGGTTGGTCAGCCAACTATGAATCCATCTGGTGGTGGCATTACCAGTCCCACATTATTATATATCCAAAATTAGTTTCTTTTAAAGCTCACCTTCCCCAGGATAAAGTTTTGGACATACAGTGATCACTAATTAATATAGATAGTCCTTGACTTATGAGCAGAATTGGGAATGAAACTTCCATTGCTAAGCAATGCAGTTCTTAAGTGAGTTGTGATTTTACAACCTTTTTGCCACAATTGTTAAGTGATTCATGTGGTTGTTAGGCAAATCTGGCTTCCCCCATTGACTTTGCTTGTCAGAACCCAGAAGTCACAAATGCTGATTACATCACCCCAGAATGCTGCAGTCAATGTAACTGCCAGTTGCCAAGCACCTGGGTTTGATCATATGACTGCGGCGATGGTCATTAAATAAACGGTCGTAAGTCAGCGATACTATTGAACATACAATGCCTCACAAGGCGCTATAAGTGGTCCCAGAGTCCCATTTCCTTCCCAGTCCACTCCCTCCAGGCTGAGTCCCAACGCCTGGCCATATAAGGCCCGGCAGTTAGCCAAACTCTCGCAGCAGGAGCCCTGAAGGCGTGTGGATGCCCCTTGGGAATCTGCAGGATGCTCTTGTAATGACTTCATGGCCCTTAATTTTAGAGCACCATCTAAAGACTCGCGGAGGCCCACAGAGAAGAGTGCGGGTAACCAGAGCTGGACCCCTGAGGGTCAGCCCTCCCTTGGGTGAGGGGCCAGGGCAGCTATTTGGCCACTGGGATTCGGCTGTTACTCTGGTGGCCTCTTCTCCCTTGTGTTTCCGAGCTATTTTCTTCCTCCATTCACTGCTGTCATTTATTACTGCAGACATTCCTAGCACACCGGTGTGTGTGTGTGGCCCCTCCACAGAGAATCGGTTGTTGTACAGTTTCAGGCTTCTTGCCTTTACAGGCAACGGAAGGGATAAGGGGGCTGGCAGGATGACAGAATGGCTACTCTGGAAGAGCTTTTCTGCTCTCAGAACGTGAAGGGGTTGCGTGTTTCCCCCAAGATTTGGTGGGGGGGGGAATTATGCAGCAGCAGAAGAAATCTAAAATCCAGAAGTGTACAATAAAGTGCCCAAGAGACAGACTCAGGGCTGCTTGGATGATGAAAAGTGGCTTTTCATTGAGCTTTGAGCAGCTCCAGCCTTGCAGCCACCCACATCCGCTCACCAAAAACTTCTGCCTCCCCGCCATCTTTCCTCCATAGGAAGCCCCCCTGGGTGGCCCTGCCCTCCCCGTGAGAGGATCGTGGCCTGGTGGCTTCAGTCAAGGCCAAACATCGGCCCTGGGAATCCTCTGACTTTCCCAGAATGCTTGGATTTTATGGAGGCTCCCAAAGGGGCAGCCCCAGGACAGGACAGGACAGGACAGGACAGAGGAAGCCGCCTTCGGCTCCAGACTCAGCTCCAGGAATCCTCCACCTGCCATCATAATTGAGCCCACAATTATGGCTCTAAGCTGAGGCAGTTGTTAAGTGGGTCACCACATCATTTTGCACCTTTTTTGCAGCAGTCGTTAAATGAATGCCATAGTCATTAAGCTAACCAAACCGGTGCACCTGGAAATGGGGGAATATTGGGAACTCATCCTTTCGTAGTGGTCCCAAAAATGACTGAGGCTGTAATTTTGGGATTAACCTGGCTTGATAAGTGGCACCCTATGATCTGATGGGAAAATGGACTGAGGACCTTAACACTGGCAACGGGACCCTTGCCTCCTACTCCAGCCAGCAGCACGCGAGGGGCTATGACAAGTGAGGACCAGGAGCAGACCCTTGAGACTCTGAAATCTGCCCCAGACTCCC